AGACGTTGCTTTCTGTAAGGATTGCCTCTACCTCTAACTTAAGAAAGTGAAAACTCTTGAAACAGAGTATTTCAAAAGGAACCTTTTATTAAGTAGAAGTGATAGCAAAGGAATCAAAGCAATGTCTGAATATCCTTAGGCAAGAAAAGTAGGATTAAAGCAATAGAGACCCCTCCCTTTAGCCAGAATGCAGATTTTAGCCAATATACGTGTGAAGATGTTTTCTTTACCAGCTGCCCTGAGAACCAGATAAGCATGCATTCCCATTGCTATCCTCTGTTATCCTTTAAAGTGAAATAACCCACATGGCCATCATAAACATGTCTTAACCATCTGTTTTAAACCATCTTTAACACCTTAAGAAGAAAATGGCCTTTCATCGCCTCCAATTCTATCTCACCTCCGATGTATTCAATAACAGAGCTCCTAGCACTGCGAGATTCCCCCCTCTCGCAAGTTTGGCCCTCCCAGTTATCTAAGGCCGCCCTCGAGGACGGGTTTTGGAACCCCGAGAGGTGGTATGCTAAGAACCGGAAGCTTTGGGGTTTTTTAGATAGTTTTTCAAATTCTATTTTAAGGGGATCTGGGAGGAGGGTGGTTTCCAATGTAAATAATGAGGCTGGGGGGCCTTCCGGGAGGGGGGTGGGTTGTATGGGTTCAGGGATTAACCCATGAGGGACGGGATCTAGTCCATCTGAAGAGCACGGCGGAGGAGATGCAGAATCCGGGGCCAAAGAGAGGGTTAGAGCTTGTGCTGTTGATAGACATTACATCAGTACTGTAGGTGGGAGGGGCAGATATGGCAGGAGTAGGGGGCCACATCAAGTTGCGGGAGTGCACGCTCACTGTCTTCAAGCGGTGGCACGCTCCAGCCCCCAATGCTCTTCTCGTTCCCCAGGTGGCACAGACCCTCAGGCCCTGGGCCTTCGGCTGATGCTATGCAATGCCAGGTCCGTGGTAAATAAAGCCCCCCTCATTTGTGATCTTGTTCAGGAGGGGGGAGCGGACCTGGTGGGTATTACGGAGACCTGGTTGGGCCAGGAGGGGGGAGTACCTCTCGTAGAGATGTGCCCACCCGGTTTCCGGGCATTTCATCAGCCAAGGTCACAGGGAAGGGGCGGGGTGGTGGTGGCAGTTATCATTAAAGAGGGTCTTGGTCCAAGGGAGGCCACTGTTCCTCAGACGGCCGGATGTGAGTCCCTCCTTGTGAAGTGGGGTCATGGGGTGCAGATGGGCCTGCTGGTTACATACCTGGCTCCCTGCCACGTGGCAGCGGCCTTGCCTGAACTACTCAACGTTATAGCCGCGGTGGCGATTGATACCCCTAGGCTTATGGTCATGGGGGACTTCAACCTGCCATCCGTCGGTGAGGCGTCTGAGGTGGCTCAGGAGTTCATGGCTTCCATGACGGCCATGGACCTGACCCAATTAGTTCATGGTCCTACTCACACGGGGGGAAACACGCTGGACCTGGTTTTTGTCTCTGGTCGGTGGCTGAGTGGTCTCAAGATAGGGGATATAGTGATCGAGCCCTTGTCATGGTCAGATCACTCCCTCCTTCGCTTTGACCTTTGAACCGCCACACCCCGCCGCAGGGAGGCGGAACCGATGAGGTGGCTCCGCCCCAGGCACCTGATGGACCCGGATAGGTTCCAGACGGAGCTTGGGCCATTTCCTGAGGCTCTGGCACACGGCTCGACTGAAGACCTAGTGGCTGCCTGGGATAGGGCGGCCGCTGGAGCTTTGGACCAGGTCGTGCCTTTGCGGCCTCTAACCTGGCGTCGATCTCACCTGGCTCCCTGGTTCACCGAGGAGCTGAGGGAGATGAAACGCCGGAAAAGACGCCTGGAGAGCAGTTGGAGGGCCAGCCGTTCTGAATCTGACCGAACACTGGTAAGGTCTCATATTAAGACCTACCTGGTGGCAATAAAAGCGGCAAAGTGTAACTATTTTTCCGCTCTTATTGTGTCATCAGATAATCGCCCGGCCGCCCTGTTTAGGGTGACCCGCTCCCTGCTCCACCAGGAAGCATGGGAGGACCCCTTGGAGGGTAGAGCCGAGGACTTTGTACAATATCTGTATGACAAAATCGCTCAGATTCGGGAAATTTGGACTCTGACTGGGTAGATTCGGGAGGGAGGATGGAGGCAAGTCTTGAGAATATTACCTGGGAAGAGTTTGATTCTGTGACTCCGGAAAACGTGGACAAGATACTGGGCAGACTGAGCGCGGCCACATGTTTATTGGACCCGTGTCCCTCCTGGCTGGTGCTGGCCTCTCGGGAGGTTACACGAGGCTGGCTCCAGGGGATTATAAATGCTTCCTTGAGAGAGGGTGCCTTCCCCGCCACCTTGAAAGAGGCGGTGGTGAAGCCTCTCCTCAAGAAGCCTTCCCTGGACCCAGCAGTGTTGGCTAATTACCATCCAGTCTCCAACCTTGCTTTGTTGCGAAGGTTGTTGAGTGTGGTAGTGCGACAGCTTCCTCAGTACTTGGATGAATCGGCTTATCTAGATCCGTTCCAGTCGGGCTTCAGGCCTGGATACAGCACAGAAACGGCATTGGTCGCATTGGTAGATGATCTCTGGAGGGCCCGGGACAGGGGTTGCTCTTCTGTCCTGGTCCTATTAGACCTCTCAGCAGCTTTTGATACCATTGACCATGGTATCATGCTGCACCGGTTGGAAGAGTTAGGGGTGGGGGGCACCGTGTTGCGGTGGTTCTCCTCCTTTCTCTCTGATCGGTCGCAGTCTGTGTTGACAGGGGGGCAGAGGTCGACCCCGAGGCCCCTTGTATGTGGGGTGCCACAGGGGTCAGTTCTCTCACCCCTTCTGTTCAACATTTATGTGAAGCCGCTGGGTGAGATCATCCGTGGTTTTGGGGTGAAGTATCATCAGTATGCTGATGATACTCAGCTATACATCTCCACCCCGGACCACCCCAATGATGCCCTTAAAGTGATGTCCCGGTGCCTGGAGGCTGTACGGATCTGGATGGGGAGGAACAGACTCAGGCTCAATCCATCCAAGACCGAGTGGCTGTGGTTTCCGACGTCCCGATATAGTCAGTTGGTGCCATCACTGACTATTGGGGATGAGTCATTGCCCCCCACGGAGAGGGTTCGCAACTTAGGCGTCCTCTTGGACTCACGGCTGTCTTTAGAAGAACACTTGACAGCTGTGGCCGGGAGGTCTTTTTATCAGGTTCGCCTGATTCGCCAGTTGCGTCCCTTTCTGGATCGGGACTCATTAAATACGGTCACTCATGCCCTCGTCACTTCATGCCTGGACTACTGTAATGCTCTCTACATGGGGCTCCCCTTGAGGAGCACCCGGAGGCTCCAGCTGGTCCAGAATGCGGCCGCGCGGGTAGTTATGGGAGCAGCATGGCGCTCCCATGTGGCTCCCCTCCTGCGCGAGCTGCACTGGCTCCCTGTGGTCTTCCGGGTGCGCTTCAAGGTCTTAGTTACCACCTTTAGAGCGCTCCATGGCTTAGGACCGGGGTACTTACGAGATCGCCTTCTGCCACCAATAGCCTCTCACCGCCCAGTACGCTCCCATAGAGAGGGGCTTCTCAGGGTGCCGTCAGCCAAACAGTGTCGACTGGCGGCCCCCAGGGGGAGAGCCTTTTCTGTGAGGGCACCCACCATCTGGAACGAGCTCCCCCCAGAGATACAGAAGATTCCGGATCTGCGCACTTTCCGCCATGCCCTCAAAATATTCCTGTTTCAGCAGGCCGGCCTGGCCTAACTTTCCCTTTATATTGCTTTTGATTTTATTTTAAACTGGGATGTCTTGAATTATCTAGGACCAGAGTGTTTAGTATATTTTAATTGGTTTTTTTTAACGTTTGTATTACATGTATTTTTATCGTTCGCTGTTCACCGCCCTGAGTCCCTCAGGAATAGGGCGGTATATAAATTTAATAAATAAATAAATAAATAAATAAATAAATAAATAAATAAATAAATATATAAATAAACAAACATTCCCCAAAGGTAAGGAGTTCTCAAGGCGCTTCTGCACCAGAATATAGGTTGTAAAATATCTGTTGACACAGGCAATGCTAATAAATCGAATCCAAGCCCCTCTCCCAATTGAATGGTAGTATCACTTTTAGGGATCTGACAACTCCTCTTGGGAAAGCATTGTTCTCTCCCCCCTCACTTATCATTGCTTGAAGCAAGCTTCAATTCTTATTCTGCTAAGTGCAATATGTATGATCACTTGTTTAACATCCATATGCCTGGCTGTTTCTCCTCTATGCCATGAACCTGCTTCCAAACTCTTATCCAATACTAGTACAAACATTCAGTTCAGATTTAGATTGCCCTACAAATAAAGAAAGTATGCAAAATATCACTGTGTTGGATTTCCTAGGCTTATCCCATTTGCCTTAGACAAATGCAAATTTTCCTCTATTTTCAGCCCTGCTGATATGTGTGCTCCAGCCCATTTTGTGCCTTCGGCCCTTTTTCAGTAAAGTACAGTCCTTGGTCATGCAAAGACTGCTAATTCACTCCTGCCATACTATATTTCATTAATGAGAGACTTTAGGGCAGATCAATGTTTGAGGACCTCTAAAGCCGTGATGGCGAACCTATGGCATGCATGCCAGAAGTGGCATGCAGAGCCATCTCTCCGGGCATGCGAGCTGTTGCCCGTTGCCCTTCCAGGTTCTGGTGCACGCATTGCATGCGCGCTGGCCAGCTGGCCTTCACATGCGTGGGAGTGCTAGAAACCGGAAGAGCTGCTGCCCAGTGCGCATGCATGCACCAGGAAGATGATCTTCCAGTTTCCGGTGCACACACGTGCACCGGGCAGCTGATCTTCATGTGCGTATGCACACCAGAAACCGGAAGACAAGGTGGCCGGTGCACATGCACGTGGCAGAAATCAGAAGATCATCTTCCCGGCACGCACATGTGCACTGGGTGGCTGCTCTTCCGGTTTCTGTGTGGGAAGAAATAAAAAAGATTTCCTAATCTGCTCTAAAAGACTTACCTGGAGCAGAGTTCTGGGATACTTTCAGGGAAAACATGCTGGCAGCCAATCCTGAGCCATAGGAGAAAACCCCAATTCTGGATCCAGCCAGCTGCTTGGCAGAATACCTGCAAAAATGTAGAATAAATAAAATCTCAGTGGAAAGACCATATTTTTTTCTCCGATAGCTTGTTGAATCTGCATATTGTGTCACTATTCCTTTCTGAAGATGAAAATTATAAATTGTGCTAATTTATGCTGACATGGATGGGATGCAAAAATGTCTAGAAATCTTGAGACCATGGTAGGGTTATTGACCTTCTAATTAACACTTAAATGTATTTGTTTCTCTAGAAAGAACAAAATAATGCATAAAATACACATAGAATGTCAATATCGAAAGGATAAATGATTACTATAACTCAATTTCAAGCAAAAAATTAAGCTACCCACTTCTAAACAGAGCAATAAACAGTTACCGTATTTTCCGGCGTATAAGATGACTTTTTAACACATGAAAATCTTCTCAAAAGTCGGGGGTCATTTTATATGCCGGGTGTCATTCCCCTATACCAGGCAGACCAGCCCGAAAGGCTCTGACGAGCCAAGCTCTGACCATCCCAGCTGAGTTGCCTGCTAATCAGGCAACTCAGCTTGGATCGTCAGAGCCATTTAAAAATCATTTTTTTAAAAAAGCCATTTAAAATCCCCCCCCTCCAGCTTGCTTACTTTAGCTGCTAGTCGCAACGTTTGTCTAGCTTTGCTTGCCTGCAATCCATTGCATCAGCAAGCAACTGAATCTCCCTGGCTGCAATCAAGCAGGCAGGGCATTGTGGACTTCAACTCCCAGAATTCTTCAGCCAGCAAAGCAAAGCTGGCTGAGGAATTCTGGGAGTTGAAGTCTACAAGTCTTAAAGTTGCCAAGGTTGGAGACCCCTGTTCTATTGGGTAAGTTTTTTTCCCCTTTGGGAGCTTGAAAAAAAATAGTTAATTGGGGTTTTTTTTAGTTTTTTTTTTTTTAGACCTAGCCATTTAAAGTTTAGGAAGTTTTAAATTTAGCTGCTTTCATATAAAAATAAAAATAAATTAAAATAAAATAATATTTGTGCAGCTTTCTGAGATTTAGTGTGTTTCTGTAGTGTTTCACTCTAACTACACAAACACACAAAATCTCATAAAACTGTATGTGGAATTTTGTGTGTGTAAAGTGTGAAGGTTGAGTTTTTGGGTTTTTTGTGGCTATGTGAGGTTCCTGCTTGTTGCAGGGGCCATTTTGAGTCTAACACAGCTGCTTTTACATTGTGGGTGAGCCAGTTGTGTTGTGTTGGGTGTGTGTAAAGTGCCAGGGACTTGCCCGGCACTTGCTCTCTCTCTATTGTTTGTTATCTTCCTCCTATCATCATCAGTTCCAGTGTGGTTGACAGCTTAGAAAACAAACAGCATGGCAGCTCCCATGGGTTTATTGTTTTATCCTTCCTTTCAGCTTTAGAGTGAATTAGGAAAAGTTTAATCCAATTGCACGGTTTTATGTTTACATGTTTGATGACAAACAGCCTTATGTTTATAAGTGACAGTTTTCCTGCTAAGTTCCTGCATGTCATAAGCATTTGAATTAAAATTACAATATTGAAATCAAATCTGATGTTTTTTAATTTTTATTTGGTGTGCATTGGAAGAGGGGTAATCTTATACAGCGAGTATAGCCAAACCCTATATTTTAACAGGAAAAGTCGGGGGTCGTCTTATATGCCCAGTCGTCTTATAGACCGGAAAATACGGTAAATCTAAATATCTAACATTGATGTGATTTTTATTAAAAAGGAAAAAATAAATGTTGCATATAAAATATATAAAAATATAAAATGTATTGTTTGGATAAAAATTAGTTCATTTTGTAACAATATTAGGGACCACCAATATATCTGGATGCATTTAGAAGAATTCATTTCTACAGATTTTAATAAGCAACGAAGCCATTTAATTGTTACATAACATTTATAAAACTTTAATATACTACTCTTAATGCAGTATATTGAAGAATAGAAGGGAATCGAACGTTCCCATTGACTCCTGTAGTGTGAGATCAGGCCTATAACTTACTGGGCCAAGAGAGATGCCAGGCAGCCATAGACTGATGGAGTATACATGTTGCCATTGCGGGCAGAAAGGAAAAGTGAGGGCTGCGTTTTCTGCTTGAACAGCTCCTGGCTGGCCTTCTGAAAAGCTTTGTCCACCTCCCTACTGGAATAGGTTTCTTCCAATTTCACATTACTGAAAGAAAGAAAGGACATCTAGTTCCTTACAGGTAAATTGGACTATATAGGTATATATATATATATGGTGTTTTTAAAAAATATTTTCTAACATGAATTACAATGAACAAAACTTCCCATTATATCAGATACTGAAATTTTTTGTTAAAAAAGGAAAAATATTTTATCCCAATAAAGAATTATGTGCCATGATTCTTTTTTTTTTTTTTTACAATTTTTTATTTGTTTTATTATATAAAACAAAATAGGAAATTAAGGGAAGAAAAAGGAATGGGGAAAAAGGGGTGGGAAAAAAAGAAAAGAAAGGCATTGATTTATGACTCTTCTTAACACAGTACAAGATAAAAACATTCCCTCAACTTTTTGCTTTTACACATTAATATTCTATAATAAGAAATATTTTTGGTCAACAAAACCAAAGTCGAAGTTTCATTTTTTTTCATCAGAAGCACAAAATCCAGAAGTGATATCCAAATGAGAATATATTTCCTCTCTGAATAATAATAATAATATGTTTTTTATCTGGCTGTACACCGCCCTGAGTCCCTTGGGAGAAGGTGAGGTATATAAATTCGAAATAAAATAAATAGTGATGAGATAATTTTCCCTATTCAGCTTTTTGGGAAGGAAAAATGTTAATCTCTGTTCCTGAAAAGAAGCAATTTTGGAAATCTGACTAGTTCTGTGTCTATTTGTTCTGGTAATTGGTTTAACAAGCAACAGATACTCTGTTTGCTCCTTTGCTTCATTCTGGAGATCTTAAATGACCTCTCTGCTAAAGGGTTTCACTTTATGAGCAAGAGTTGGCTGCTGATAGTTATTATCATTGCATTTTAACTATTTTAATTCCTCAAGGTGCTCTGGCACCGTCCCTGATTTGTAACTCCAGTTTGCAGGTATTTCTAATCTGATGATTGGTATTTAGGGCAGCTTTTTGCAAGCAAAGAAGCTTTTTGTATTTTTGTACAGGTAATCCTTGACTTACAACAGTTACAATGGCACTGGAAAAAGTGATTTATGACCGTTTTTCACACTTATGACCATTGCAGCAAACTGTCATTAGGGCAAAGAAGCGATGCCACATGACCACCTGGCCACGGCCACCCGGTCACATGAAGCACCGTTGTGAAATGAGTGACACAGTTGTTAAGAATGCTGCAACGGACATAAATAATGACCAGTCATAAGTGCGAGGACTGGTCAAAAGTGCAAAGACCTGTCAGAAATCACTTTTTTCAGCCCTCTGGGTAGTCCTTTTGTGCATATGGACTATTCAGAGGGCTGAAAAAGTTATTTTTGACCAGTCCTCGCACTTTTGACTGGTCCTCACACTTACGACTGTCCTCAAATTTACGTTTTGCGCCTTATCTTGTCACCATGGTGAAGAGAAGCAGTTGTGAAATGAGTGACATGGTTGTTAAGAATGCTGCAACAGGCATAAATGTGAGGATGGTCATAAATGTGAGGACCAGTCAAAAGTGCGAGGACCCGTCAGAAATGACTTCTTTCAGCCTCTGAGTAGTCCCTATACACATAGCCATGGCCACCTGGTCACATGATCAGCTAGCCACGCCCACCCAGTCACATGACTTCCAAGCCACGCTAACCCAAATAAGCCACGCCCACAGAACCGGTTGTTAAAAAAATTGAATCCCACCACTGTTAATAACACTTTTTTGTGTGTGTTTAAGATAATCATATTCCACTGCTAGAATGGCCTGGGAATAGCCCAGACCTTAACCCAACTGAAAATCTATGGAACCGACTAAAGAAACTTGTTAGTGAGAAGCAACCCAGTTAATAGACCCAAACATTCAATCTTGGTTTCACATTATAACAGCTGCAGAACTAAAAGACTTGGTTCACTCCATGGGAAGACGTTGTAAGGCTGTAATTCATGCTAAAGGTTACCCAAGTAAGTATTAACTGACATCATAATTTTTGTATATCTTGTTTTTTCTCTGTGTTTTACTTTTCTTCTTTATACTGTAACTCAGTGGTGAAATTAAATTTTTTCCCTACCGGTTCTGTGGCTTGGTGGGCGGCCACTCCTGTGACTGAGTGGGCGTGGCTGTGAGTGACATCAAGTTGGCCATGCCCACTCAGTCACATATACTCCCCCCACCAAGCCAAACCCACAGAACCCAGTAGGAATTTTTTAAAAATTTCTATTCTGCCCTTGCCGCGAGATGCCTGCATGCGCACACCCAATCTGCCACTGATGAATGATGACTGAATAAACGGGGTATGCATGCACGGCCGGCGCATGGAAGAGGGCGGCGATGGTGGTGGCACTTTCAAGAAGGGGAGCAGCTCCAGTAACTTTCACTTGCAAGAAGCCTGCAGCCACTGCATCTTTTGGCATAAGAAGTGCCACCAGGCGCACCAAAAAAGCACCTCCAGGTGCTGGAGCTCAGCGGCGACAGCTCAGCCCTGGCTTGCCTTCCCTGGCAGCCAGCCACAGGAGGAAGATAAGGACGTGCCGCGTGGCAAAGGGAGAGTGGGCATTGGGTGGTGAGCGGGTGATAGCTCTGGGGTAAGGCTGGAGCTGGGGAATGGTGCATTCCCTGACCTGGTTGAAGCGAGTGGGCAGTGGCTCTGGGGCCTTGAGGAATGGCGCATCCCTGGGCTCCAGCCCCCAACCCAAGGTGAGGGGTGAGTGGGCGGCATGCATTGCTTACCTTTGGTGAGCTGAGCAGGCAAGGCGACTGGCGAGGCTAGTAACCAGGGGTGATTGCTACCAGTTCAGCGAACCAATGCCAATCGTCCCTAGCATTACATTCTTGATTAAATTATCTTTTGATTGATATATAATTTTATATATATATATTTGAGAATGTTACCTGGGAGGAGTTTGATGCTGTGACTCCCGATGATGTGGACAGGATTTTGGGGAGACTTAATGCGGCCACATGTTTACTGGACCCGTGTCCCTCCTGGTTGGTACTGGCCTCCCGGGAGGTTACACGAGGCTGGCTCCAGGGTGTTATCAACGCTTCGTTGAGTGAGGGTCACTTCCCCGCCACCTTGAAAGAGGTGGTGGTGAGGCCTCTCCTCAAGAAGCCGCCCCTGGATCCGGCAATATTGGCTAACTATAGTCCTGTCTCCAACCTTCGCTTCATGGCGAAGGTTGTTGAGAGTGTGGTCGCGTGACAATTTCCGCAATTTCCTATCTAGATCCATTCCAGTCGGGTTTCAGGCCTGGGCACAGCACAGAAACGGCATTGGTCGCATTGGTTGATGATCTCTGGAGGGCTCGGGACAGGGGTTGCTCCTCTGTTCTGGTCCTGTTAGATCTCTCAGCGGCTTTTGATACCATCGACCATGGTATCATGCTGCACTGGTTGGAAGAGTTGGGGATGGGGGGCACCGTGTTACGGTGGTTCTCCTTTCTCTCCGACTGGTCGCAGTTCATGTTGGCAGGGGGGCAGAGGTCGACCTCGAGGCCTCTTATATGTGGAGTGCCTCAGGGATCGGTCCTCTCACCCCTCCTGTTCAACATTTATGTGAAGCCGCTGGGCGAGATCATCCGTGGCTTTGGGGTGAGATACCACCAGTACGCTGATGACACCCAGCTGTACATCTCCACCCCAGGCCACCCCAACGATGCCCTTGAAGTGATGTCCCAGTGCTTGGAGGCTGTGTGGATCTGGATGGGGAGGAACAGGCTCAGGCTCAACCCTTCCAAGACTGAGTGGCTGTGGTTCCCGGCATCCCGATATAGTCAGTTGACTCCATCACTGACTATTGGGGGCGAGTCGTTCGCCCCCACAGAGAGGGCTTGCAATCTGGGAGTCCTCCTGGATACGCAGCTGTCCTTGAAGGAACATCTGATGGCTGTAACCAGGGGGACCTTTTGTCAGGTTCGCCTGATTCGCCAGTTGCGGCCCTTTCTTGATCGGGATTCCCTGTGCACAGTCACTCATGCCCTCGTCACCTCTCGCCTTGACTACTGCAATGCTCTCTACATTGGGCTCCCCTTGAAGAGCAGTCAGAGGCTCCAACTGGTCCAGAACGCAGCAGCGTGGGTAGTGACGGGAGCAGCATGGCGCTCCCATGTAACACCGCTCCTGCGTGAGCTGCACTGGCTCCCGGTGGTCTTCCGGGTGCACTTCAAGGTGTTGGTTATCACCTTTAAAGCGCTCCATGGCATAGGGCCTAGCTATCTTCGAGACTGCCTGCTGCCACCGATGACCTCCCATCGACCCGTGCGCTCCCACAGAGAGGGCCTCCTCGGGGTGCCATCAACCAAACAGTGCAGGCTGGTGACCCCCAGGGGGAGGGCCTTCTCTGTGGAGGCACCTACCCTCTGGAATCAGTTGCCCCCAGAGATAAGGAGAATCCAATACCTCAGTGCCTTCCGCCGTGTCCTTAAAACCTTCTTTTTCCAGCAAGCCGGGCTGGCCTAATTTTTTAAGTGTTTTTAATTGTTTTGTTTATCGTTTTTAATTAATGGGGCCAAATTTATATATATCTTTTAATTGTATTTTAATATTTGTATTTGATGTTTTTACTTGGCTGTTCACCGCCCTGAGTCCTCAGGGAGAAGGGCAGTATACAAATTCAAAATAAAATAAAATAAAAATAAAATAAATACCACTCCAAAAAAACCTGGTGTTATTAGCTAGTTTTAGAAAATACACTTTTCCCAAAAGATTTCAACCATTTTGGCCACTACTGGATGTTATCCAAAAATTTTTTTCCCATTGTACCAGTGGTGAAATCTAAAATTTGTTACTACCGGTTCTGTGGGCGTGGCTTGGTGTGTGTGTGGGGGTAATGTGACTGAGTGGGCATGGCCAACTTTTTTTTTCTTTTAAAACCATTTTTTCTACAACCTCTTCAGCCGAAGAGATTGTAAAAAAAATGCTTTTAAAAGCCTCTGACGATCCCAGCTGAGTTGCCTGATCGGCAAAGGCTTTTTTTTTTTACTTTTAAAAGCATTTTTTCTGCCAAAAAGATTGTAGAAAAAATGCTTTTAAAAATTAAAAAAAAAGC